GTTCATAATCACATCATTTATAATCACTCGACTTCGAAATTCGAGTTCCAAAGTTTTCTTTGTTCTCTCCTACTTTTTGTAAGGGTAGTAGAATTTTTCGTATATCTTGGTTTGACAAGTGTTGAATCATTCCAATTAGACGTATTTACAGTTGATTCGATAAACAAAACTTCTGTTATCAATCTCTTCCTCCCTCCACCGTGTGACATAAGATTTTCAAAAACTGTCATCTTGACCCATCCTACTGTGTGGCTGTGTGTAATTGCATGTAGTGCTTTAGCTAGACCATTAAACCAGTCGCACCCAAATCATTGATCCATTACCCATGAGTTCTGAATCCTGCGAATCCAGTAGGTGTGCACTGCTTATGCTTGGAAAAGCATGACGAGACAGAACTCCACTACCCCAATTAGATTTCAATGATTCTGAATTTCGTGTTTACCGACTTGACCGAAATGCTTGGCATCTGTTAACCTGTTGTTACCTACTGGTACGTAAGCTCCGACGATATCTGGGCATGAACATGGAGTTGTTTCGAGGGATGGTGACTAGGAGTGGAATCGAATCAATGATGCACAGTTAGCCCTACCTGGGACTCATCGGTGGGATGTACGCATGAGTTAGGGTGTCCTCAGTGAGACTTGAATTCGGTACCTATCTTCTTCAACGTTAAAGCATTATCCACCAGAACACTCAGGTAACGGGAGTCACCAGCTCTCGTGCAATAAGCATCAGGATCATCGTTGAATCCAGAGTTAGTCGACAAATACCAGGTTGAATGACATTCATGTGGCTGAAAGTCAAGGTGGTCAGAATGAACTCATTTTTTTTAATAATAATAATAACAGCTTTATTCCAAACAGTATTTGTGGTACAGGTATGGAATTTTCAGCGTGCATTACAGTATATTGCATCTAATTACCTCATAAATTATATAAGATTTTTAAAAATCAAAGAAAATAAATAAAAATAAAATAAATAAGTTATAAATAAATAAAATAAATAAATATTAAAAATTAAGAAAAAAAACAGCGTAGAGTATTTCATTTCAAACAATGCACCACAGGATTTGAAATATAAAGTTGATGTGTGGTTGTAGATGAGAACAACAGTGTAGTAGTAACGAGGAAAGGAAAACAAAAACTAATGGGACTATTTGTTAGAGTGCCGCAGTAAGTTTATCGTGTCATACCTAACGGATTTCTCATCACATAACAGCTGTGCCAGATATGGTATTGTGGAGTTTTTGTATTTGGTAGTCCTAGCATATAGCCTCCTATAGCTGCTTCTAGTTCTTCCAGATGAAATGCAAGGAGATAGATGCGTATAGAGAGGATGCTCGGGGTCCGACAATATTGTATTCGCTAGTTTCTTACATGACATTATATGTCTATCTACAATAGTGTTCACCAGTTGGTCTAACGATATCCCACTTGCCCTACTAACAGCTTTTAGTGCCCTTCTCAGCGAAGCAAAGTCTTTCTTAAGTAGTCCAGGAAAGACTAATGGGGAGCAGTAAAGGAGGATGGGTAGAATACAAGAATTTACAAACTGAGAAAGCAAAGACTGCTTTATACCAGACTGCCTAAATTTCCTAATGTAGAACGTTAAGCGAAACATCTTTCTAGTAACTAGCAAGATGTGGGAAGACCAGGAAAGATCGGTGGAAAAACTCAGCCCAAGGAACTTCACATTAGATGTATTTTCAACCTCTGTGCCGTCAATGAGAGTGGGGCCATGTGAGCTAACTAGTTGCTGTAGGTCACATTTACGTCTGAAAGTGAAATTGACTACCTGACATTTAGACGGATTAAGCTTAAGTCCGTTTGAAGAGGACCACTGACTAATTTCCGACAGAAAGCTATTTAATTTGGAACAATCTGACTGAGAGTTGACAGGCATAGAGACCGAGAGGTCATCGGCATACTTAACAAAAGTGGCTACATCAGAATGAGGCAAGTCATGTAAGAAAAACGAAAACAGAAAGGGAGAGAGAACAGCGCCTTGAGGAACGCCTGCTAAAGTAAGTGAGGTAGTGGAGGATTTTCCATTGTAGACGGTGTACTGCTTCCTTTCAGAAAAATAGGACTGCAACCACTTATTTGTCCAGCTTTCAGCCTGTGTTGCAGCAAGCTTACTTAGCAAGAGAGACCTGGGAACAGAGTCAAATGCAGATGTGTAATCAAGGAAGGCACAGCGAACGTATTTAGCCCCTTTATCTAAACTAGAGACTATGCTATGGTGGAGGACGACAGCGGCATCTAACGTACTCCTACTATGTTTATAAGCAAACTGGTTGGGGTCGTTGAAAGGTTTTAAAGAGGGATCAAGATTAAGTAGAATAAGTCTTTCCATAACTTTCAAAAAGGGTGAGGTAATTGAAATAGGTCTAAACTTAACATTAGGTCCACTTGTAGATTTAGGCACTGGAACGATCTTGATGTTTTTCCATGATTCAGGTATAATACTTTTGGAAAACGATTCGTTGAAAATGTCAGTTAGCGGGGAACAAGACTCATCCTAATAATCAGACAAGATTGTAATGTCGCGATCGAATTTCTTAACATCGTTAAGAACTTACAAAGCAGGTAAAACAAATAATAACAGAAAGTTTTCATCCTTAGCTCCAGGTTTTACCAACTCCAATTAGATTGTGTCAAGTTATATCAGCTGCAAATGCTCTGTACTAATATTTGTTATTTTAATCGTTTTTGCCTTCATTTCCGAGTGGAACAGCACACACTTACTTATTCCTGTTTTTCTGCAATTCTCTTCCGTCGTAAGGTATTCTGTGTATGTCTCGTTTTCCTGACCAAAATGTCCTTATTTATGAATCATCATACTAGGGAAAAAACAAATATTTCTGAATTGACACTATTCTGTATCTGGTTTATTGTTTTGTTTATAGTCCTATCTATAGTTTAGACTGAATTCTATGAGTCAGGTTCACAGTGTGGCCATCATTTAGGTGGCTTGCCATCATGGCACACTGTTACCTGTTTGTTTTAGATGGTTGGGGACAATCGCCAGGAGGCCTCATACTAAGGTTTCGTCCTAGTTGACACAGACATAGGAGTGAACACACAACAAAATAAGATACTGAATAGAGTCCAATCAAAATACCCAAAACAATCCTACAGTAGAAAAGATTTGTAACTCAGGTGGATGATTTGGAATTGATAGTGTTCTCTTAAACCAATTAAACCAAGGAGCTCAGAGAACACTATCAATTCCAAACAATCCTACAGTCGCTATCATGAATAGCTCAGTTCTAACGTCTCTGACTGCAACATTAAGTGATGGGAGTTCGAATCTCAGAATGGACGCGAGATCCTGCGAGGTTGGAGATACGCTTCGCTGACTAGTGAGTGCCAACTAGCACAAAAGTTAGGTAGAAGGCTTCCTGCGGATGGCCTTCAACCATCCAATATGTACAACAAATGTTCTCTGTCAATATACAGAATATATCCCTATGTCAAGGGCTGAAATGAGGCGTCTTCTGATCAGTTGAACTTAGGAAATTGGTTGTACTGTCAACTCGATGGAGGAGATATGTGAGATTATCAATCCCAAATAACCGTTGATATCTATGAGTACCATCTAGAAACATACTACGTTGAAATCTGTAGTACCCTACAAGGTATAAAATGCCGGATGGATGTTACATATTAGGTTATAAGTTCATTGTAGATCATGTTTGTGCCTCAATGTGAAGTTAACTGTCTGACGTTTAGATGGATTTAACATGAGATGACTTAACTTGAATCACTGGTTTACATCCAACTGAACGCTATTCATTTTTAAACAGCCAGATAGATGGTGGTTACTGGCAGTTAGACAGTCAGATCATCATAGTGTTTAGCGAAGTTAACCTCTATTGAAACAGGGTTATTCGTGTTATCAAAATATATTAAGCAAATGTCTAACAGCCTCAATGGTGTCTAGGTTGAAAATATTCTGTTCATCTACAGATTACTAACTTGACCAACATCATACTCCCAATTCATTTTTTGTGAACAACGTTAGCTGTAGCACGCAGTGCAGTCGGACACAAGTATTCAGTGTCATGGAATACAGTGATGTTACTCGAATGAAGTGTGCGAGGTTATAGACAGAAGGAGAGTGAGACAAGGAGATTTGTCACTCTGAATAAATTCTGTTTTACAACGTGAAATTCGATGTCATCAAATTTCAAACATTGTTAGTTGACGTTTTCACTTTTATTCTGTTTGCCTTCGTATACCAAAATCTCACGCCCATCCCAGCTTCCATGCATCCCAATAATTCTCTTATATGTGACATGAATTGTGTTATCACTGAACACTGAATGTTGAATACGGCGTCAGAATCGTTTGAATTTGAATCACATTTCACACTATTATTGTTATTATCTAATGTATTCACGTGTATGATTGAATCATCTTAGCGGATGCAGTGTCTTGGTAACCACATCATATACGATTGTCAAGCTTGATAACAGATAGTTAGTTGTAAAGTGGTCTTTCCCATTAGTTTCTTGCTTTGTATTTTATTTTAAGTGGATAAATACACTGTAAACGTTATTCAGGTATATAGGAGTGGATTGTCATAATTGCGATGTGAATTTCATAAGGATTTGGCATTCCTTTGTTCAATACAAGAAAGCGGGATACACTGAATGAGTGTTTGGAACTTTCGAAATCAACCTTCATAATTAGACTAGTTTAAACGCAACATACTGAGGTTATCTGGTGAGTGTGCAACAATTTATTCTGTAGACAATTATTTTGAGTGCTTAAACGTTGTACAGTCAGTCAGTGACAAAAGTTGACCTTGCAATGAACAGAGAGGTCCTCTCCGAAGTCGATAGAATGTTTCGTGAAGAGACATCTGGTGTAGTGTGGACTGTCCTGGATGAGGTGTTGGATATTCGCTAAACATGGCTTTTTGTTGTGTCTCACTGTGTAGTGTTTCAGTTTGCCCGTTTCATGATGGTATGTTGAATATGATAAGTGAAGAGATGTGATGAGAATGTGGATTGGTCGATTGGTCATAAATACTGGTTAATGTTACAAGTCCGTTGGTTTTAATTAAACCCCCATCAAGTGATGTTAACGTACATCGGAGAAATTGTCACAACGAGAACATCAGTAATCTGTAAGGTGTAGAATAACCTTCCTCAGGATATATGCTGTCGTCTCCTTTACATTACTGAAGCTCAAACCACTCAGTTACAGGATCGTGAAACAAGCAAAGAAAAGCAAACTATTCGACCAGAAAATTGTACATAAATTTGATGATACAGGTTAAAAGGGATAAATGACTTCACCATGAACAGTATCTACTCTGAACTATGTATTTTGTTTCCATTAAAATGTCTAGATTGAGATTACTGGTGAATATATTATCAAAAACGAATTTGCTGTAATACCCACAAATTGTGCATTTGATCACTTAATATAGTTGGGGACGTCGAATTCCTTCTGCTATTCAGCGGTTCCATACTGTTCATGTCTGCTCGTAACAAAAGCGAACTCGATATGAACGAATGACACGGTTTACAATGAAGTCAATCATTCAGTTACTGTATCAGCACACGCGAACACTTCACACTTATCATTAACATAAAAAGAATTTATCAATAAAGATTTATTGTCGGGAAATTAATCTACAGAAAGAAGAGAAACAGGCGACCACTGATTATTGAGAAAATGAAGCGTATTCATTCCACAAAGGTCTAAGTGGAGCATTTCAATAAGCACAGTTGAAACTGTTTTGCAGTTACACAATGGGTATGAAGTGTAATCTGGACATTTTCACTGCAGCTCCTGTAGTGTTTTGCACAGTTACAATCTATAGTAGCTTTGTCCGCTTGGTGGATGCCAACTTTTACAATCTCTGGATGTAGAGACAGTAAGAGAAACGGAAAAATGAAATCAAGAATAGTCGTCATGAAAAGTTTCATTAACTACAGTACCCAATTATGGATTGTATGATAGATAGTAGAATGTTTCTAGCATCGAAAGCAGTTTTGCAATTAGTGATAGTTATATTGTATTTACCGGTGGTGCGTATCCTGCACAGAAGTTATTAAGCCTGTTTCGGAGTTATCTGCATTCATAAAGATTTCCGGCAAGGAAACAACAAGATTCCTGTCTCCCCACAATTGTGTCCAGGGGAATGCAAGTGGCTGTGACACACCCAAAGAAAGACATAAGGTGATACCACATATCAAGCCACCAATCAAGAGCAGTCCAAGCTGCAAACGATGAGTTGCTTGTCAGTGGTTCACATGGAGGTCATCCTGTGTGAGTATTTATGAGTGGAGTAGATCAGAGGCAGTGGGCAGTCACGGAGCCAGCTGAAGAGCACTTCGCAGTTCAGTTGCTGATTCAGAAGTTTCACAAGTTCCTTTCTGACATTTACCTCTTCACGCAAATCCCGTGATAAATATCGTACGGTTGAGGCTACACATTTTCCTGCTCACACCCTCCTGATTTATGATGGAATGTCTTCTGCTTTCACACTCGTATATATATATAAAGGAGAAATTTGCAACTAAAAGAGAGGATGCTCCGTATCAGAACAACAGCTTACAAGAATTTAAGTGCCTACTGACAATTATGTCAGTCATCTGAGTCAGAGACATCACACTACCAAGCTTACTCACAGACTCTAACTTTCTGTGTGATTTAACTTAGTCTGAGGCGAACAACGAAGAAGAACTGGCAGATTATATGAATTGAGAAATTGTAATAGAAGAGGTTGAGTCAGGCCAGTAAATAATTTCAACTGGCTCATATAGTCAGTCAAATGAAAAATTTCACCAGAAATCGACAAGATGTAAGGCGACCAACATAGATTTGAAGAGAAATGGGAGTGGAAATAAGAGGTATTCGATTGACCGCCTTTCACATTGCCGCCAATATTGAATCAATCAGTGGGTGCAAGTCTTGTTCATTTATGAAAGTGAAATCGATAAACTGTATGACATATAGATAGGTTTGATTTTAGACCATTTTGAGTGAGACAGTGTTAACTTCAGATAGGAATCTATTCATACGAGAAGAACTAAGTGTAGGGTCTACTGGAATGGAGGTCGTTAGACCATCTGCACATCCAGTGAAATCAGCCTTCAGAGAATACAGAAGATCGTGCAAGACGAAAACATAAATTGAGTAAGTGAAGCGCTCCGAGTCACAGCAGTTCCCGTCAGCGACGAAGTGGGACGCTCTCAATTCAAAACAGCACGTTAGTTTCTACCGAAAATACAACTGGCTCTGCAGTAGCGAGTTAATTTATAAACACACATCTCAACTTAGTCTACCAATACTGCTCTTGTTATCATTATTAATATTATCATGGTTGCCTATTGTATAAATATGCCCATGGAATCTACATGATGTATGATGAAAATGAAAACATACTGGCCATCACATGTGACACCACAAGTACGATACTGTTCAAACAAGACAACAACAAATACACAAGGAGGCCTTAGTTTTCTATGGAATCAGAAGTTCTTTAGAAAATGTACGTAGTATTCTTGAGAATACTGTGAGCATATTTACACTAACGTTATAAAGTAATTTAGATATAACGTTTGTCGTAAAGCTTCAAATGTCGCATGATTCATATATTAAAGAAGACTTACATGTAACCTTTACGCTGTCCACTTTTCTCCTGCAATTCTTTTTCGGTTAGCTTTGTGCCAAATGCAACCCAATACGTACAGGCCACATCCTGAATAGTTAGGTTGAGTTCTTTGTAGTTCAAAGTAAAATTGATCTTGAAAAAATCGATACTAACATTTCCTTCAAATAGACAAAAACACATTTTAATGGCTTATAGGAAAGGTTTAGAATCTCTACAAGTAGACTTGGTTCATGAATTCAGTGAAATAATAAATATTATTTGACAAGTTGACTTTTGATGTTTGGTTCGTAGAGATCAGGAATGAGAATTTGTTAATCGCTGATTCATTTCTCGCCTATTTGTTCCAGTGTCAGTCAGTACTCATTTTAGGTCAGTGGTTGTCTGTCAGTTCATGGCCATGCAATGAATGCCAAAGCATCATAAAAATCAAATAAAATATGCTAACTAGAAAATGTCATTCTTATCTCCAGTTCACAATACTGCAAAGAGTATTAATAATCAGAATGTACCCTGAATAAAGAACAATCTAACTGTATTTAAGTGGCTCATTTTAAGGTGATAATATATATCTTTGACAGTGGCACTGGTCCCAGTGTCAAATGCCTGTAGTTGAAAGGATGTTGCTCAGCCAGACAAGTGAAAGAAGTGATCTGTTTTAAATATATCCGCCTAAGGGTGATCACTGTCTATTGTTGTCGTTAGTACATTGCTAATCTTTCTCACCATCATCTTCTTTGTCTTCACTTGAAGTTTTGAATTCCCTTCTTGCTTCTTCTGCCAGGCTGTTGTTTTTCGCTGTAAAGTTTTCGCGTTTATGTGATACTAGAATTCCAGATATCCAAGAGTATTCTAATTCTTCCAACATATTCCTGTCTTCCAGCACACCATATTTATGCATCTCACATAAAACAGCCCATCACAGTGAGGAATAGCATCAATGATAGTGGGCATCTAGCCTAGTCGTGCTGCTTTTTTTACTTCAAAGGGAAGTGTCGCTCAGTTATCTATTGTGGATCACGTGACACGTGGAATTTTGTTGTGCCTTTTGAAAAGGCGAAACATCATACCGAATGAAACGAGAGACTGCCTCATCATTACAATATATACCACGGATCGTGCAGTGACATCGTTTCGAGAATGGTTGGAAAGCGTGAATTAGAGGATGATCACTTGGTCGTAGAATGAAGCTGTTGAGTAGTGTGAGGACACTATCTAATGAAGAGTGAGAACAGAAACTTTCAGGCGAAGAGATGATCTCGGTGACTTTTCATTCACTAGGACGAAATCCAGTGACCTGTGAATTCCCCCTTTTCCTAATCGGCAGTATATAGCACCACCTACTATCGAATCTCATCACGGATGAGGATGTGTTTTCAGGGTGGTAACTAAATGTCAATGGAATTTCAGGCAAATTCATATTGCTATATGTCAGTCTGTCACCATTATGAGAAGAATAAGATAAGATAAGAGGTTTATTCCAAAACAGTACTTGTGATACAGATTGGAATTCTCAGCATTTTGCTACAATATTGCATCCAGTTAGTACATTAACAATAAATAAAGTTCTGCATAGATTAAGGTTATCTCAGTTAGTTTTGACAACAACATATTAGCATGTCGGTAGCAAAGCCAAAATTAAACAGTGTTTGAAGGTGTTAGAAAAGTAGATACTACTAGCATATTTACTGGCGTAAGCGATAACAAAATGGTCGAGATATACAGACTGTGAAAGAACGAACAAGAATGTTTTAAGTAGAGTTTATAAGGAAGAGAGAAACAAAACAGCACATAACAAAAATAAAGACAAAAAAATAGAGAGAAAGAAAAGGAGAGAAAACGTTGTACTTATAAATGATATGAGTTGGAAAGACGAGATCCAATTGTTCTACTGACTATTTAATAAGTTAAAAGTTTCACGCCTGATGCCTTCTTTATGGCACAGGACACGAGCTAAGTAGGGTATGGATGAGTTTTTGTACTTACTAATGCGGGTATATGGTTTCATATAAAGGCTTCATGATTTTTATGAAGTGATGTGTCGCAATACCTAGTCCGAGTGAAGTCACATCCATTTCAGCGATTAAGACTCTCATTGACCATGCACATGGTCCAGAGTTTGATACCCTGCCGATGCACACCAGATATATATGGTCACCCCGCAAAATTTGGGCTACCGATATCATATGCTGAAAATTCCTTAATTGTACCGAAAATACGGTGTGGTTTCAAGCTATAATCAAAAAAAAAGAATTCACATAGATTACCTCTTCCATCAAATGTCATATTGAGCGGAAAGATCTCCGATGTTATCCACTTTATATTGACTATGCACAGTCCGACGACCATGATGAGGTTTAGTTTTGACCTCTGAGACACCATTTCACTGAAAATGTATAAGAAAGGGAGAACACAATGAATTTTCAATTTAGTGACATTTGAAATGACCAGCAGAGAGAGACTTTTTTCTTTTTCTATGTATTCCGCGTGGAATATACGCCTGATACAGCACATCAGATTTATTCCTATCCTAGGGGGCTCAACTTGGTATGACATTACGATCGTCCATAATCTCTTATCTCCAAATTCACACCATTTTCCCCATGCCGTCGTCAGACCATTGCACCACCAGTGGTTTAAAGTTCGGCGTGCAATTTAGCGATGGCGTAGAGTGAAAGTGACCAATCAAGTTTTATGCAGTTATAAGATTCGCGAATATTATTTGCTGTGTATATTTCAGGCTAAGTGAAGAAGCTTTGTGAAGAAGTATAACGATAACATTGCGAATACTAAATCATCGATTGTAGAGAAAATGGGATTCGTAAGTCAATTAAACACAGTTCGATGTGGTTGAATTTCACCATATTTCCTCTAAGAAACTAAAATTATTCACAGTGTAGCATTTGAATCGCTAGATGTCATCAGTAGTAATCAGAAAAGCAAGAATATCTGCATAATGCCGTATACTACTGGCTGATTGAGATGAGCCAGCCAGACAGCTAGCATACCTGGCATACAAATACTCATTTCAGTGTATAGCTAGAGTAAACTGTCCTGCCTTCATGGTTAACTGCACGATTATATCAATGGACGATGCACCAATACCATGCGCATAATAGAAGAGATTCTGGGAATAGTGAATCACATCGCTACCAATGAACTCTTCAAAGCATATGACAGTGGAGGATATTTCTTTACTGTTGAGATTCATTCAGTTGGTGATAAAGTTGTACAAAGTTCTGAACTGTTTTCCATCCATGGAGTTGTTAACGTGGTTAACTGGTACATGTACGCATTGACCTGAATACATTTCAACGGTCAGTCCTTGATATCACGAACTGCTATTCAGTCAGTCGACTAATACTCAATATTTGTCTTTCAGTGTTCTCAGAAGTGAATTGAAAAACGTCTTCCAAAAAACACGTCCATTGTTACCTTTGAACTCTCAAGCTTGTTAACATGAATCGATGGGTTGAGTGTGAAGCAGCAGAAATCAGCTGTTGTCAAAGTGGACAGTGATCAATGTGCCTTTGGAATAATCTGTTGCTTCTAATTTCATTATGGATAAGATTTTATTATGATTAATCATACACTGCTGTACAGTAATATTAACTGATGACGACGTTTCGAGCATAAACTATTACTGCTCATAATCATATCAAGTCACTACTCACACAACTTTGTTCTTTCATTTATATACATGTATAGAATCGATTAGATATTGGATTGAAAATAAATATGAGTTAATGTACACTCAGAAATAATAATACGAGTGCAGGGCGGTCGGAAAGGATGAGAATGTCAAAGTTAAATCTAATCGGAAACTTATGACAGGCCCTCATCCTCACCCTTACATCAATTTATAAATCTTCCACACTTTCCTGAGCAGAATGATTAAAATGAGGATTTTCAACACCAGTGTTAAGTTAGTCAGGCAGTCAGTTGATGTGCGGCTGAAACTGAGCCAGTGAGTCACAATTAGCATTTCGAACAATCAGCTGCACATCTTCATCAGCATTTGGAACCCAAGGGAACAATGATGATAATAAAAAACAAAAAAATATCACTTCCAGGGGTTGAGACTTGACTCAAAACGCAGTTGGTGAAAACCTGAGCTACGACTCAACACTCTTCGTTATTCACGTGCTTTGTGAATGCCTAAGGCTGATTGGAAATCCGCCTGCCACATTATCTACTTGCCTGAATATTAAGGACTGACTCATTCCTGAAATTCACCTGGATGGAAAGGTGAGACTGGAAGGTCATTGCCTACATATTCATATACACATTTATTCTACTGTTCTATTATCATTATTATTCCCATTATCCGTATTTTAATATCACCCTATTACTGTTTATTAATAACATTTCTTTTTCATACAGATTATATATATAAAAACATTTTACACGAGCTTATTGACTAGTCATTATCACACAAATACACATGTATATTGCTATATATCTAGCAGGATGAAGTTCTTCACTGAATCAAGAAAAGCGTCTTTTCTTTCACCAGTCCATAAGTCTCTTCCAGCCACTTGGCGACTGAGTGGTGTGAAGAATATATCATATCAATTACGTATTCTTCAGATGAAACCAGATATCGTGCCCCTCCCCCTCGCACCCTCACTCACATGGATACCATGAGGGTAGAAGAAATATTCGGTGATGACATTTCTAGAGTAATACTAGTTGACAAATACATCAGACTATTATAATAAACAAACTCTCATGAATTTAATGCGATATCAATAACATTTTTGAAAGGGGTTTATCAAAAAGGACACCACAATAAACAGACAGTGCTAAATATTACGAAAATATTTATCAGAGAACACATGAACGACCTCACTTATCCGGTTCAAGAATTCTTAGCCCATGTACAGATTACATAAGAGTACACTCAATCCATTACTAGATATCACTGATCTGGATTCCTTGACCGAAAAATTAGTAACTGTCAAAACACAACCTCTGCAACATTCATACATATATGGTGTGTTTTGGTAGTGAGGATGTGAATCATTTTCTCAAACGTTAATTACACATTATATAGTATTTCATATGAACAAATATATATCTCTGTAACTCACCCGCAATTTGAGCTGAATAGTTGCTAACCAACTTGATGCTGATAGAATATTTTGTTACACTATTTATACAACTAACTAACACCCGACACCATTCCATTCATTGGTTACTTCCACTAACCAATCAGAAATCGACTGAATCTGTTTGTTCATGTGTTCGTGTGATAACCATGAATTCAGTTAAAATTGATTAGAGAAAAATCCTGAACACATAACAGTGACGATATTTGGAAATAAAATCGAATTGGTACATCATTGCTCAGATTACCATTTCTACCTGGGCAGATATATGCTATAGATTTAAAATTCATTTTATACAGGCATGTCCATCAATTCACATCAACTATTACAAAAAAGTAGTTTGGTGGATGGTAACTAGCCTTGGAATCGATTCCACTGCCAGTCACCATCCATCGCCAGACCTCGTTGGGGACTACTCACTAGAAGGCACCAACACATCAACAGAGACTGAACATATCGGTCCACTCAGTTGACAACAGAAAACTAGAGGCATTGGAAACTAACAGACAGTGATGGCTAGCTGTGTAGCCTTATTTTTGCACTTATCGACAGCATGGATCCCCTGTGTGAGCTTGCAGTGAGAATACATAGGTTTTGGATAATTGAGTCGGATATCACTGGCTGAATGTTCTACGGACAAGCGTCCATTGTAATAGTAAAGCCCTAATTACAAATCACTTTGGTGACTGTGTACTTCCGTTGAGTCTAAAACTAGGATGACGAAACAGTTGTTCAATAGTCTCAAGTACTTTTCGGCTATTCTCGAGTTCATTCTATTCCATGGTCCAACATCGAATGCCTAAACAATCCCTCTCCATGTAAGACTCTATTATACTAGTGATGACAAAAGTTATTACAGAAACGTTGAATATGCCGATTAGTAGTAAAATGCATTTTACACTGCATATAATTCATGCAGTTCACCCACAGTATTCGTGCTCATGATTCACGTTTTATTATTATTATTATTGTATCCTTTAGTTCCTAGAGGAACATAGGGCTTCAGCTGCGCACCTCCATTGACTTCGGTTTTCTGACAACTTTTTCACCCTGCTCCAGGTCTGTCCACATGCTTTCATCTCCTCCTCGCATGACCTCCTCCAAGTCACCCTTGCACTGACGACCAACTCTCCGCTTCCCTTTCGGGTTCCACTCGAGGGCTTGTCTAGTGATGTCACTTGATGGTTTCCTCAGCGTATGGCCAATCCATCTCCATTTCTTTCTGCCTATTTGTTTCACAATCGGGTCCTGATTGGTTCGCTCCCAGAGATCCCTGTTGCTGATCTTTTCTGGCCATCTGATCTTGAGTATTGAGCGGAGACAGTTGTTAATGAAGGTTTGAAGTTTGTTTGAGATGCTCTTTATGACTCGCCAAGTCTCTGATCCGTATAGCAGCACTGACTTCACATTGGAGTTGAAAATCCGGATCTTATTTTTGACGCTGATTGCTGTTGACCTCCACACAGATTTGAGAGTAATGAAAGCTTGTCTTGCTTTTCCGATTCTGGCTTTGATGTCCTCGTCAGTTCCATCTGCCTGTAGTTGAGGCGATGCTTCCCAAGTATGTGAAGGAGGTTGTTTCTTTCAGGTTCTTCCCATTTATGCTTATTGTGGTCTGTTGGTGTTGTTGATTTTGGCTAGGAATCTTCATCACCTCTGTTTTTATCTATGTTCACTTGAATTCCTATCTTTGATGCTTCTTCTGCCAACTTGTTACTTTTCACTTGCATATCTTCCAGTTTATGGGAAATCAGACATATATCATCGGCGAAATCCAGATCCTCCAAGTCTTTTGTGTCACGTTTTGCAGAACCATTATTGAAATATATTGCCTGACTGATAGGGATGAATTCAACAGGGACGAATTCATCCTGAGAAGGTCTACAAATGCATTTATACTCATTATAAATATACAATTCCGTTGGTTGTAAATTACTTGGAGATTCAAGTGTTAGTGTGTAGGGACTTGATTTTGCTCATGTGACCCCATGGAGTGACACGATTCTGAGGCACTGGGTAAACGCAATGAGCACTGTCGGGCAGCTGTTTCGACAGCTTAGTTTGGAACTGATCAGCACTATGCGCCCATTGAAACGGTTCAAAAATAGAACCTTCAGGTTACATGGCAAGCTAGATAGTAGACTATTGGTGCATTATGGCCGGAGTCAATCGCTGATGATTTCCAAAAATTACTTCCACCTGAATTCGAATTTCAGGGAGTGCACACTGATAATCCGCCCCGAAATTTAATGAAACAGCTGTTATCAAACTATGCTAAAACTTGACACTTAGGTTCATTGATGAAACAGGCATCATATAGAAATAAGGCTTAAGCAAATTGTAAAGATTTATCATAATTTTACTTGATTATTAAAGTATGGCTAGCTGCCATACTGTGTAAAGTGAAATATGCTAATGTTATTTCTATGCGTACGTATAGAACTACTTAAGTTATTTCAATCCTCAGGGATTGATTTGCAGTCGCTTGATTGTTTTCAAGTTTGATGAAGTTCTCTTTGAAGTTATGGTTGGAAGTCGTAACCAGGAGTGTCCACCGAGTTCAGCACCATGGCACATTCTCATTTGAGATATTGTTAACAGTCAGGCTATCTGTCTCGAATCGGAATGAGTTAGCATTGAATGTGTCATTAGATCTTGTAAAAGTGACTCATCTGTAGATGAGCTTGCTTCGTAATTCGAAGTTTCTGTGTTTGAACCCTGGTCGATCCCTGGATGAATCCACTCGTAAACAATTTGATTCGTCTATATTCAGGATAGCGTCTAACTATTTAATCTTTTACCAGTTCTGTAAGGCTGGAGATAAGAATGACATTTTCCAGTGGTATCATGAATTTGATTTAATCAAGGGATTATTATTATTTTAATTCATTCATGAACTGAGTCTACTTGTAGGAATTCAAACATTTCTCATAAAATCGCTTATAACTTCATTGGTTTTCAGGGTAGATGACTGTCGGTTTCGATGGAGGGAAGTAAACTTTCAGTGATTCCTTGAAACTAACAGTCCAGGATTATGGCTATTCAAGGCCAGAAGACTTGACATCACCAAAACAAGAAAACAGATAACCAGGAAGGTAAATCTTCCGGGTGCAATGTCAGTCCACATTCATAAGTGATATATGTGTCATTTATAGCTGTTCAATCAAAATAACATCTGAATTACTTAGTTATGTAAATATGAATATACTCACCTGGTTGTCATGAATACCACGTACATTTTCTAAACAGCCTTCTTCATCACAGAAAACGTATGCCTGTTTGTGTCGATGTTGTCTTGTGTGTACAGTGTCATAATTGTGGTGTCACGTGTAATGGACAGTTCGCTTTTAGCTTCGTTATACATTATCTGGTCCCGATAACCAAATGTGTGCAACAGGCCACAATAATAATAAGGACAAGATCGGTGTTAGTAGAATAAGTTGTGTTGTGTGTTTATAAATTTACTCACTACTAAAGAGCCAATTTTATTTTTGGCAGAAACCAACACACTGTCTTGCACTGAGAACACCTCACTTCGCTGCTATCGAGAACTGGTGCGACTCGAAACGCTGCACGTTCTCAACTGATATCTACGTTTGCTTGATCTTCCGTATTATCCCGGTGCTAATTTTATACAAGCAGTTGGCTTAACGTATCTCATCTTATACCAAACATACTCTATGCTGAAATTCTGTTTTGATAAATACGCTGTGAAATCAGAAGAAATCCTATTTGAAATTATGCTCGCTTGAGCAGGAAAGTGTTTAGCCTCAACCATACGAGATACTCAGCACGGGTTTTGCGTGAAGAGAAAAATGTCAGAAGGGAACTTGCGAAAACAGAATGAAAGTGAAAATGTCAACTAACAATGTTTGAAATTTGATGACATCGAATTTCACGTTGTAAAACAGAATTTATTCAGAGTGACTAATCTCCTTGTCTCACTCTCCTTCTATCTATAACCACACACACTTCATTTGAGTAACATCACTGTATTCCATGGTACTGCATGATTGTGTCTGACTGCATTGCGTGCTACAACTAACATTGTTCACAGAAAATGAATTTGAGTAGAACTTGGTAACGCAGATTTCACAGGTTCTATATTCCGCCTTGAAACTGACTGCGATACGGACTGACTGCAGCCACTACTAATACTATTACCACCACATCTATGAGTTGAGTCGAGACCATATTTGCATACGGAGTTGGTGATGAGCTCAAAATTGTCTCCTTTTGAGCAGACACAGCCAAATTCTGAGATTTGACGCTGATGGACGAAGTTGAACTAATACGTAGACTTTTTGACACGTATACAAGAATCCTCATTGACAAGCGTTCCCCTTTCATTCTTGTTTGCATGTAGTAGAATTGGCGTGAATATTCTCTAACACAGCTGGAATAATTGGGAGTATGATGTCAGACAAGTTAGAATATTTTCAACCCCAAACATCATTGTGGCTGTTAGATTTTGCCTAACATATTTCGCTAACACAAATAACTTTATTTCGGTAGAAATTAACTTCTATGAAGTTAAGACTATGAAGATCTGACTGTCTCACTGTCAGTGACATCTTCCAAATATTGATCGGTGCTTGTTGTTGCTCTGAGTACATCTTCCTTCCCTCCAGCTACTTTGTATTTACTTGCAAACATGCATTCTCTGCTGATTCTTTTCTCAGATCGCCATTTTTCGCCTGCACGTCTTCGAGTTTGAGTGAATTGAGAAACAAATCTTAGGTAGGTAATCTGCTCTTACACCGCGTTTCGAATCAAATTTTGTGCTCAGTTTACCCCCGTGGATCATGAGACATCTGGAATTTTTAGGCACTTGTTGATTAAGCAAACAACCGTTGCGAATAAAGAGAAACGTTCTCGAATCATTTGGATAACCTTTGACCATTGAGAATTACGTGGAAATCGCTTCGTCGTAGAACGAAACTCTTCAGTGGTATGCACCCATCTTGGGATGAGGAATGAATATCCAGAAACCGTCAGAGGACGAGATGATCTC